TAGATGCTGTCAGGTGACATTGGTTGGCATGGAGCCAGGAGAACGTGTACTTTCATTTCAGGTTCATCTCATTTTTCTTCTCTTTATCACTGCTTGTTCGAGGGAACCCTACTCATGTTCTTCCTCTCTCTCTGTCCCCAGTATTAGTGTAACATTATCAGCAGAATAATTGGATAATTAACACCAGTGATTTTTGGCTATGCCCTTAATAAAAATTTATTTTCATTCCCTCAAGAATAAAATTTCCTTCAGGAAATTTTTGAGATTCACTGAAGCATAATTCAAAAAAGCAAAACTACTATAAAGAAGAGATATCAGAAAAAAAAGTCATGTATTTAACATTTTGATATAAAAACAAACACAAGCACACACAGATACGTCTGTTAAATGCATACACTGTGCACTCCTGGAGATGTCTGTTCAAAGTATTTTCTGTCAATAATAGGAAGGAACTGAAGTGTTCTTTCCTGAGCATTAAGTGATCAGATCGTATAATTTCGGTTGTTTTTTCCCCATACCTGCAGAGAAACAAACACAATGATCTAATTGATTTTTTAAAAATTTCTATTGCCAAATACCACACAGCATTCATGTGGTGTTTCAATGAACTCGCTTCCTTACTCTCTCAGTCTCCCTACTCTATTCCAAATGCTTACCTACTATTTATAACAGATGTGGTAACAGTTGTGTAAAAAGAAAGAGAAGCAGCCCATAACAAGTGAATGTTGCTTCAGCTACATTTGTTCTAGGTCCCTCTGACCCATAAGAACCTGTAAATTTTCCTCTTAATTTTTATTTTCTATTTAGATTTATAGGTTCTTAAGTGCTATAGAACAAATTCTTTCAACACAAATTATGTGAAGATAAAATGGAATTGTAACTGAATAGCTACTTCACGGGTTGATGATTTCTTGTCTTCAGGTGCACACAAAGTAGAGAGGGAAATTGTTAAAAATGCAATCCTGATCCAAAGACCAGAGGATCTGATTTGGTGGGATATCAATGAGCCCCTTTTCATTCTCTGCCAGGTGATGTCAGAAACAGAATTAGAAGTCACATCTGACTCCCTGTCTCCTACACTACAATGTCCCCATCAAACCTGTGCAATTTAAACAGCGAAATTTCATGTACTGAATATTTGGTAGGTTTTTATGATGACCTGGGGTTTTCTCAGGTGGAAAATCCGTATTTTGCAGCCAAGGCTGGAATTGAACATGATCTATTTTGGCATCTAACAAGTAAATCATGGTCTACAACTATGCTTTTCAAATATACATGGCTTTTGAGGACTTGAAACATGGCTAGTGTAACTAAAAAAACAATTTTAATTTTTTTTAAAATTAAATATAAGCTAAGTATCCACCCGTGACTGCTGGCTACAGAATTGTTCTACCCAGATACAGAACACTGTCATCATCATGGAAAGTTCTACTGAGCAGTGCTGACTATAATGCATCCCTCTGTCTTACTGTATGTCCATCTTCAAGAGTCTGAAAGGAACTGCTGCCCTTTAACTAAAAGGCAGCTGCCAAAATCAATGGCAGAGGCCACCTGGGTTATACTTAATGTGACCTGTGCCCAGGCACCTTTGTTCTCAGCATCATTCTAGTTAAAACTAACATACACCACACCTGGATTCAAATCCCTTCATTGCTAGCCATTAGCTGAATGTCTGTGGACAAATATCCTTGAGTGTTTGACTCTCATTTTCTCCCCTTGTACTTGGGGAAAGGTACTGATCACATTTAATGTGCCAAAGGTAGCAAAGCCTGAATGCACTGACCTCTTCTTTATTTTGCCTGAGTAAGAAATACACTATTAGCTTCACTGTAGCCAGTTTCTCCTCCATCACCCCCAGATACCTATCTCCCTTGGGAAGAAATTCCTGAATATTCACATTTAACCTCCCTAACTCCTAAGAAAAGGAGTTCAGCTTAATTTTCCATTAGCTGATCATCAACTGCCCACTCTCTGCATGCTTTACTATAGCTAATAATTCCAAGTAAACAGGAAAGGCTTATTCAATTCTAATTGAACCAATGGTCCACCATCCCAAGAGATCCTTGTTCAGTCCTCACAGCCAGAATCCTTAGAGACCTCCAGGTAGCACAGAAGGCTACTTAGAAATGCCTCTTGGGGCTCGTAGTGGCAGCAGCAATGTCAATGAGAAGCATTTGTTTTGTTGTTCTGGCTTTCTCTCTCCTCTTCGTCCCCCTCCTTTTCCCCCCTTCTCTCCCTCCCTACCTTCCCTCCTTCTCATCACTCTATGTCAGTATAGAAATTAAAGCTCTGGGATATGGAACTCACGTGAGAACTGACTTGCTACATCCAAAGCTTCTCAACCTCAGCTGCATTTTTAATCTTTTGAGATGCAATTAAAACACTGCAATACGGCAAGCATACACCTGAAAGAGTCTGTTTGGAAAGCTCCTGAGAACAACTGGCAACGTAATTTGAGACAGAAATAAGAACAGAGCCATGGATGAAGCCTTTAAGTAGCAGCCACCTGTAGAAGCTGGTGAAATTAGTGACACAGGCAACCCTTTCATCTTCCCTATTGTTCTCCTGAGCAGCTGTCACTTGCACAACACGTGTGGGTTACTCTAGTCATGCTAACCCACATTTAGCTTTCACACTTCGGCTCTGGCACAATTTAGCATGCTTGTTTGCTCGAAATTAGACTTAGGATTGAGGAGATCTAGGCAGGTAAATGCAGACAAAAAGACGTTGTGGGGAAAACTGTGATACAGAATCTTCAGAAAGTGCTTTAATTTTCTAACCCTTGCATTTGACAGACATCAATGCCAAAGATCCCTTCTACTACAACATCACACAGGAACTGAACCAAGGACTTGAGAGGGATAGATAGATTGGGTTGCCATTTCTGAAAGGTTTCTTTATTCAATACTTTTCCTCATTCTGTTGCAACTGATGATTAGAACCACAATAGAATTAGAAAAAGTCCAATACCAAAAATAGAAACCTCCTACATCACACACACACACAGACGGGCTTTTTTCAACATAGCTCTAAGCTGTTAAAACAATTGGGAAAGGCAAAAAATGAAATGAAGCAATGCATACTTCAACAATACATAGGGTCAGATGTATTTGGTGTTTTGTAGCAGTGTAAAGATTTGAGAACATTGCTAAATATCCCAAATATAACATGATGGGTTTTTCTCACCATGACTGTCCCACAGAAAAGAGGGGCTTTCTAGAAATAAAGTTTTTATAAATATCATACTACAAGTTTCTCTCTCTTTTCTACGGGATAGATGCATTGCTTGAAATACTCTGAATCAACTCTTGTTTTAGATATTCTATGGGGGATACCTTATAGAATCACTAAAAGAGAAGGCAAAGATATTTCATATAGATTTTGGTTCTGTGTCTGAGTATTTGACCTCACCGTTGTAGATGTCACTATAAACATGACTCAAAGATCTCCTTAAAAAGCAGTACAATAAGTTGATATAAAATAGAAGTCATTATTATACTCCTGCAGGATGAATGAACAAAAATTTTTCCCATGCTACAAAAATGCATAGTTGTTGCTTGAGACAAATTTCTCACTGATAGTATATTTTCAAAAAAGTGCTGCTAAGCAAGATTATTGTGTTAAATGCAGGAGTGGAAAAAAGCAGTATTTCTAAATTAATTTTTTTGATTATTTGGTTGTTTTTTGGGGGGAGGTTAATTAGGTTTATTTATTATTATTATTTTTTTAATGGAGGTACCAGGGATTGAACCCAAGACCTCATGCGTGCTAAGCACTGCACTCTACCACTAAGCTATACCCTCCCTCTCATTATGCTTTTATATTAGTTTAAATAGGTACATATAATCAAATTGACAAATTAGTCCAATTATATATTTAACTATTCATGAACATTCTTAAAAGTCTGCTATCTCCTAAAACATTTTCTTCTGAAATATATCATTGGGCAAATGAGAGGTTTCCTTAAAATTGGAGTCACCTTATTTTTGGGCACATATGTTTGAAATATTTATTTACAAAAACTTGTAATCAATTATTATCATAAGCAAAAAGAGGTTGTTAAATCCCTGTATGAGACTGTTTGCTTATGTATTTAAATTTGTAACTAACAGAACTTCATTCTTTGGAAAGTAACATAAATCACTTGATTTAAAACAACAAACTCCTCCAAACACCATGAAGAAGCTAAGAGAAGTAAACACTGGAATTTTTTTTTTAGTCAATGTGACTTCTCTACCCTAAAAGCACTAGTAAATTTAAGATCAAAACACAAAGCTTACGTAACGCTAGCATGATAAAACCTAGATATATTTTTGCTAGAAACCAATGAAAAAAAAAATTTATACTTTATTTTCTACTTATACAAATTTCATTCTCATTGAATATATCTGAAGTCTAAACTAGTTTATGTGGGTTATATTTGTGGAACTTTAAAGCAATTAATTAATTCATAAAATCAATTTTTAGCTATTGATTAATTTAAAAGCATAAAAATATCACATTAGATATTCCTTAGTTATTTCTCAACTTATTACAGGAATCATTTCTCGAAATTCTTTCAAACTCAATGATTTTATTTCATGAAAATAAAATCACAAAACTTTTCAAAATCATATAGTATCTTCTAAATATCTGAACTAAGGTTAATAAAAATGACATATCCTATTGCCAAGAGTGAGGACAAAATATTCAATTTATGTACAAGGTATCTATAAAAACAAAAGCATATGGTACCAGGAGCAAAGATAATTGTTAAGAGAAGGCATAAAACTATTTTTGAAACAGAATTAGAACTGTTTATTTTATTAAAAAGTTGACATAGGTTATCTTTAGTGTTTATGACTTGCAAACTAAAGTATTTAATATTTAACATGTTTAAATACAAGCAGTAGCAGTTTGGTAATCAAAAGGAATCATTTGAATCATCTCAGAAAAATAAATTCATTATAATTAGGATATTTTAGAATATGATTAAAACATTTAAAAGAAAATGTATTCACCTTTCTTGTCATCAAAGTACAGAGTCTGTTGAGCTGGATTTGACCACTGGAGGGAGGTGTTATCATTTTGATCAACCCTGCAGGTCAAAATTGCAGTTCCTCCTTCAACAACAGTTACATTCTGTGTTAGTGGAAACTGCCCTTGGCTGCCTAAAAGGGGATTAAAGAAAATGTTGATTAAATGAAAGTTATAAAATGATTAACTTACCAAAAGCCACATGGACTTAACTCCTCACTCCAAGTAAAATTTAAACCAATCAAACAACAACAGCAAAACCATATATTACAAAATGGTGAAAAAAAAAATTGAAAACTCTTAATCAAGGACAACAGTTTTGACAGATCATTAGGACTCCTTTATACTTCTTTGCATGCTCCAGAAAACCTTCTTTTCCTCCTAGCCACACAGAAATATGTATATTTAAATAATAACATGATTATCATTAATTTTCCTTAGCCTGGCATTAGTTATAGGGTGCTAGACCTGGTCATCTTTGAAGATAATAATTTCAGATGAACTGAACTCTATAAAGCAGCAGAGGAAACAAGCAAAATACTTGCCAGTAGCTTTTATAATTGCTGAAAGTCTATAAAAAATGGATACTAGAAATTTAGATTTAATTTCTGATAAAATAGACTAAAAAAGGATTCTACTTCACCAGGGTTTCTTGTAGATGTAGCTGTTTTTAGAAATACAGAATGTGTTGGAGAAAACAAGGTAAGTATTCTTCAAAAAGTGTTCATCTTACAGAATATTCATTAAAATCTTAAAGTAATTATTCTAACCCAAGAAATAGAGATAATACTTCTCTTTGTTTTCTGTAGTTTCTCTGATTTTTTCCAATGAATATACATTTCTTGTATAATCAAGAAAAAATATATTTATAAATAACCCTTGTCAATTTGGATATCATTAAAATGTAATCAAGTTTCTAGCATCCTATGTGTCCCACTAATTCATGAAAGTAATTCATGGAATAACTTGGCTTAGTAAAAGCATTTCTAATAGTTAAAACAAAATTCATGCACACGGAACATAATACATAAATTTCACTACAGCAAGATGATTTGGAGATGACCTCTGCCAAGTCTGGTAACAATTATCAACATGGACAAAAAATGACTTTCCAGAGCCAGGTTAAAACACTATTATGTGAGCAAGGTGGTTCATTAAGTCAAGGATAATTTACATATGCAAGAACATTATGATTACTTAATCACACCCATGAAATATATTTTCCTTTTCTTCTTTAGTTTTGTAATGATTCTATCATTACCACAAGCACCACTTGAGGTTATACTGGAGCTACTGGCATAAAGAATCATACTACCAAGAAGCCTGTTGATTGGCACCATAAGAGAGAGAAGAGCCTGAAGGGGAAAATTTCTTTCCAGCCCAAAATGACACAAGGTTCATGACCACCTTACATAATTAAGCCTATCAAGTAGAAAAATCTGATATCAGTAGTTCTGCCTCCTCAATGCCAACCTCTTAAGAGTCACTATGGCAACTCCCCAGGATAGCTTCCTGTAAACTTTAGAGTGGAGTTTTTAAATTGAGGTTAGGCAATGTCTGGAATAAATTCTTTAATAGTTGACTTGAAAGTCAACAGATGCCAGAGCAAGATATGTTTTGCCTTCAGCTCAGAGGTGACCTCTAGCAGGGAAACATGGAGAACTATCAATCTTGTGAAGTGAGGTGAGGCAAAAAACAATAGCAGAGAAAACGTGCGCTAAAACGGAAACAAGGAATAATTACCAGCGATACCAGATTAGCAGCTCATAAATATGGAGCTCAGAATGTTTTTAGGATAACTTTGCTCAGGTCCCCAGTTACTGATGTCATGCATAAACTGAGCAATCTAGGGGAAGAGGGGATTCTTTAGGTAATGAAAAGCATACAACTACTAATAAATATACATGATTCATCCCAGATGACAATTTGACTATCAACAGGTACATAAATAATAGCGTCTTCTTTAAAGAAGTGGAAAAAGAGCAGTGATGCTTGCAACAATTTCATCCACTACATTTGCAAAATAATTTTCAAAACATCCCCGTAAGAAAATATTATCCTTCTCATTTCACAGATGGGTAAACTGACACTGGGAGGTTAAGTGATTTCTCCATGGTGAAACAGTCAACGAACCATTTGAAGTTTGTTCAGAAAGTTTAACATTTTATTCTTATTTTCCCACAAAGGCTGCTGGGTCATCCCATATTTGTTTAAATGTGAATAATACAACAATGAAAAAAAAAAGAATACTCTTTTAACAATGGAACTTTAAATTGCATACCTAGCTGAACTATGTCCTCACAAATTTCAGTTTTAATATTAAAACCCGAGACGATGTCATTGTGAACTGCCCTTAAATGTCCTATCCTATTTAGAATTTACTTTTAATAATTATTTCTGTCTTTCTTTAACAATCTATAGAAGAAAAAACTAACATTTGTTAGGGGCTCCACAGACACTAGCACACCTACGCTTGTCCTTCCAGTAGGTGATGAGGACAGCTTCCCTCCATCTTCTCCCCACATGGATTCTGACTTTAAAGTATTATGATTTCAGTTCTCTGGGACCTGCAGCCTAAAATCCCTGCAGTCAAATAATTTAGCTTTTCCCAATAGAGAGCAAACTCATGTGCAGAATTTACTAATCCTACATACCCTTAGGATATGTAGTCTACAAAATCAACTCAAAAGCCAGTGTTGTAGGCAGTCAAACTACTTCTCAAAGCTTTGAATTGCTTCTTACTTCTGCTTATAACCTGGAGACAGCATCAAGTCAGCTGCTGCTTTTTTCTTTTAATTCCTCCTGGCTCAAGGTCAGTAGGTTGTCATTTAATTAGATCTCAGAGAGACTTTCTAAAGACATCACTAAATTTTCCAATTAGAAATATCAGTATGTTACAAAGTTAAGGATTTATCCTCAATGTATTCATCAGAAAAATATTTGGGGGGGGTTACTTCATGTCTTGCCTTGTATGAATTAACATCCAAAAGACGCATAGAGAAAGAGAAACTTGCTAAGGAGTCTGCAAAGTAATCAGAAACTAGGAGAGAGTGTGAAGACCACAGAGAAGGCAGTCTAGGTGTGGTACAGGATTCATCTTGTTTACCAAGCACTGCATTGGTCATATCGTTGAGGCCTTATTTTAGAAAGACCTTCTTCTGGCTAAGCTCATCACCATCCTAGATTTCAAATGAGACATTTTTTTCAAACAAGTTTGTGATGAGACTTAAAGAAAACACAATTTCAAATTTGGAATTGTGGAAGCTGGTTATTTTTCCAGGCAACCTATGCCCCCAATTTTTTTCCTCCTTTCCTTGAATTTATGTCCTTTCATTGTTTTCATAAATAGGGATCTCCCTTCCTTGTTTCTAAGCTAATTAAGAGTCAGATGACCTAGGGCATTTTACTTCTCTTGGAATTGGCTACACGGCTTAACTGTATGTGTTAATCTGTATCTGTGTAGGTGCCCACCATACAAAATGAAAGCATCTTCTTAGAGCAGTCACTGCACTTGTATGGGAATTGTGATAGTAGAATGACTGAAGTAACTCAAGTCTGCTGCAGTTGTTCATGGTCAAAAATGGAGAGACAGGAGAGAATGATTCTTCACTGAAAAAATATGGGAAAACTAAATCAGAAAAGCCTTATAATATAAAGTCTTAAAACATTTTGTTTTTAAGTTCTACTTGAAAATCTTGAGAGGTGTATGTGAGAAGATAAAACAATGGTGATCTAGAACAGACATATCTAATACCATTTTCAGCTCCCAAAACAGACATGAAAAGACAGACTGTGACAAATGTATGCTCTGAAGGGGGAAAAAAAACATAGAAAACAAAAACTTCTTTTAAGCATAATGAACCCCACCTAAGCCCTCTTAGGTAGACAGGCCTCTGAAATGGAAAATATTTTATCTTCCTTTCCTGGTCCAGTTTCCCTTGCATTAGCATCCATTTTAATAATACCCTTCCAGTGTTATCTCATCCCTCATCCATCATTAAGTCAGCAGTAAATAAATGAAAAATGCAATTAACCTTAACTGAGCATTCACATATACTAGGCAGTATTCTAAGTACATTTTCTTTATCAATGATTGATTTAATCTTCATGCCAACCCAGCCATCATCTCTATCTCGAAGATGAGAAAACTGATGCAAAGAGACCTTAAACAATGTGCCCACAGTCACACAGCTAGACAGTGCAGCAGGCAGGATTTGAACTTTTGCCTTCGGTCTTGAGACCTCAAGTGCTTAACCAGAGAACTGCTTTGAAAATAAAATGACCTTAATTCTGATTCAATGGCTGTTATAAAAGAAACATATAGCTTGCAGTCAAAAATGTCTAAGATGCAGTTAGACCTTTTACATCTATTTTTAATAAAGTGAAGGAACATCTGAGATTCAAGGAAAAGCAGCGATGTGCTCAAGCCAGCTGGCTGACTCCAGCTCGTGAGGTTTAGCTGACTGCAGGGCCTCTCCCTTCACACTCAGTGACAGAAGTCAGGAGCGTGAAACTGACCACAGTGGGAGTATTCTCACCGTGGTAACTGGCTTACAACTCAAGTCAGTGTTTTCTCCCACGGAGCCAGTGGTTAAACATTTACAGCACAGCACTGAAAAAGCCATCCTTAATGCTTTTTCTGAGGGCTGTTACATACATTTTCAGCATAAATAAGGTTTTGCTGTTGTTGTGTCTGAAAGCCAACAAACTCTCTCCACTGCAGTTGAGTTCTGTTTTTGAAGTTCTTTTTCATCATATTTTGAGTCTCTTCTTTAATCATTTTTTCCTTTTTCCTCCAATCACTTTCCAAACAGCCATTTTCCCCTCCCACATAACAATTTTCCAATAAAAACCTTTCAAATAAGCTCCTCTTTTCTCTACTCTGTGACCGTGATCTTGAACTTCTAGTCTTTCTTAGGCTGCTGAGTTTCTCTCTAACTAGCATCAGTGGCTGAAAAACATTTAAGTCACTGTTAGTAATTACATGTAAATAAGTTGCTAATTTACTGCTGTGAAAGACAGGTTAATGAAGAATGATTTGTCAATATTTTGAAAAAAAATAGCTCTCCTGACCCTGTTTTTAAATAGCTGTCATTATTCCTTCAATGTTTCCATCTGTCGTACACTTAGGGAA